AGGGTGGGGGGGGGCGCGGCCTGCCAGTCCCTGGGACAGGACGCGCGAGAAAAGGCGGAGTGGGAGGGGCCCAGCCACCCTGCCCTCCTCCCCAGAGACTGTCTCGGCGCGCCAGAGGCCAGCCCTGCACTGCGCCGGGCCGCGCCATCAATTATGCAGGCGGCAGCCGGCTGGGGGTGTGTCCGGATGCGCTGCGCCACCCCCAACCCCGCATCTTTTTGGCCCTCGGCCTCTGAGCCCTAGGAGTGGGTAGGTAGTGTCTAGCCCATCTACTCTGGAGAGGTAGAAACTCTCCCTGTAGACTATCCTTTGCAGTTCTGAGACACCGTTCAGTTATTTACTACGATGGGACGGGTGAGAAGATAAAGGACAGTTTCTGCTCCCTCGGATGTCTTGGGCTTTCTTAGTAAGAAGGCTTGTATTTTGTGCTGGTGGAAAGCGCTCTCCAGCTACCCCACACCTGGACTGATCTTTCTTTGCTCTGCCTGTCAGTCACCTAAGCCCTCCTCTCCAGTCTCTGAAGGCTGAACCGGTTATCACTAGATAAATACTTTAGAGTCCCAGGGCGCCGAAGTGTGTGTCTGTTTTTATTCTCCTGTATGCTTACCTAACAGCTTTTGAGTAGCCATCTAGAGCTCAAGAAAGAAAAATCGCTGGAAGTTGATACTGTGTAAACTACACTAAGATGCTGACCTTTGTCAAACTGGAACACTTTTAAGATAATACTAGCCTTTACCTTCCCAGGCTATAGCGGGGATTTGTCAGCGTTCTTGATCAAATGCAATAAAAACAACTAAACACTAGTGCTTTATCAGGGAAGGGAAAGGGAATCTACATTACAACAGAAGTTGTAAGCTTCGATGATTCTTCAGGACGTTGTAACACATTAGAAGTTGTTTGTTTTTAATAAGTATTTCTGGTGAACTTGTTCCCTCTTCCATTTGAAGCTCAGATCTGACATTTGCAAAATACACCAGTATCCAAAAAGGATTGAATGAAAGTGTTAGATACAAATTTTGAAGATTGAACTATTAAGCAGGGCATACGCTTATTCTTGACAAGAATGGTTAGTTTTTAATTGGCATGCAGTATTAAAAATATTCTTGTTTCCAGTTTAGTATTAGATAGGCAAAACTTTGGAAAAGAATGTGGATTTTTCTAATTGGTATCGTGAGAATATGAGTGATACAACTCATTCAGCCACATTAGGTGTCTACTAAGTGCCAGATGTGTTCAAAATAGGCTGCATGGTAAATGAATGCAATATAGTTAACAGGATACAGAATCAATATACAAAAATGTGTAGCATTTTTATACACCAATAATGAACAGACCAAGGCAGAATTGAAGAAAACAATCCCATTTACACTGGCTATGAAACAAATGAGATACTTAAGAGTAAACCTAACTAAAGAAATGAAAGACTTCTATAAGGAAAACCAAGAAAAACTGGAAAAAAAAAAAAAAAGAAAAGAAAAGAAAAGAAATTGAGTATGATACCAAAAAAATGGAAAGACATCCCATTAAGGCAGGAGACAGGAACCCTAAAAATATAGTTAGGGTATAGACCTAAGATGGAGTCAGGAAATGGCTAAGTTTTGAGATAGAGACAGCAATGGCCCAATAGTTAACCTAGGCAGCATGACCAAGACCTAAAACAAAGGCTTTTTCCAGGCCCCACCACCTTCCAGGAAGAAGATAAGATAATGGTTTTTATGACCCAACACTTCAGGACAAAAAAGTCAGCTGATCTTAGTACCCACTTCAAAATTAGGGAAATAATTGGACCCAACCAGCATGCGCCCCTCCCTGCCAGGAGGGAGATACATACACAAACAAGCCCCACCTAAAACCTAAGTCCTAACAAAGCCCTTCCTGACCCAAATAAAAACCCTTGCCACAATGGAAGTATGGCAACCCGTTTTCCAGAAACCCTTCCTTTTTGGGAGCTCTGTTTTTCCTTCCTTGTCCTTTAATAAATTCTCCACTTTATTAATAAATTCACCACTTTACTATACCTACTGTGTGTCCATGGCTCTAATTCTTCCTAAGCATAAAACAAAACCTGTGTCTCACTGCGAGTGTGGGACCAATCACCCCTGTGCTCCTGTGTTCCAATGTCACCATGTTCTTGATGTGAAAGAATCAGTATACTCAAAATGTCAGTTCTACCCAAATTAATTTACATAGTCCATGCTCTTCCAATCCAACTGCCTATGACATTCTTCACAGAAATAGAAGATATAATTATAAAACTTGCCTGGAATCATAAAAGACCCCCATATCACCAAGGCAATACTGTGCCAAAAGAATAAAATGGATGGAATCGCACTGCCTGACTTCAAAATATATTACAGAGCAGTGATAGTCAAAAGAGAACGGTACTGGAACAAAAATAGACCTATAACCAATGGAACATAATAGAGAATCCAGAAAAAAGCCCAAGTTATACAGTCAACTGATCTTTGACAAAGGATACAAGACAATGCAGTGGAAAAAAGAAAATCTTTTCAGCAAATGGTGCTGAAAGAACTGGATATCCACCTGCAGAAAAATGAAGCTAGACCCTACCTCTCACCGTCAAGAAGAATCAACTCAAAAATGAATCAAAGATTTAAATACAAAGCCTCAAATTATAAAACAACTAATAGAATATGTAGGGGAGACTTTCGATGATCTTGGAGTAAACAAACATTTCTTAAATAAGACCCTGAAGCACAGACAACAGTCCACAAAATAGACAAGTGAGATTAAATCAAGCTAAAAAGCTTCCTCACAACAAAGGAAATATTAATTAGAGTAAGAAAACACAACCCTTGGATGGGAGAAAATATTTGTAAATTTTTCCTTATACAAGAGATTGATACTGAAGGCCAACAGGTGGTGTGATGGTTATAAGGTGGCTGGACTTCCATATGGCTGACCATAGTTCAAGTCCTGGACCTGGTGGCTTGCTTTCTCACCTTCCTTCTCTCTCTGGTCAACTTCAATGAAATAAAAAATAATGACAATGAATAAAATTAAATAAAATGATTTTTTAAAAAGAGATTGATATCTAGAATATATCAGGAATACTAGCAGCTTGCCCATAAAAAAATGAATAATTCAATTAAAAATGGACAAATGAATTGAATAGAAACTTTATAAAGAAGACTTATGAATGACCACATGGCATATGAAAAAATGTTCAAAGTCTCTTGTGAGATGGGAAACCACAATAAGATACCATTTAACCCCAGTTAGAATGTCTAGAGTCAAAAACATACAGAAGAAAAAGTGCTGGCAAGGCTGTGGTGGAAAGAGAGCCCTCTTACACTGTTGGTGGGAATGTAAATTAGTACAACCTCCATGGAAAACAATATGAAGGTTCCTCAAAACCCAGAAGTTCAACTACTACATGACCCAGTAACCCCACTTTTTGGTATTTACTCAAAAGATAAGAAAATCAGAAAAATACTTGCACATCCATGTTTATTGCAGCATTATTCATAATTCCTAAAACAGGAACCAACCCAAATGTCCAAAAATTGATGACTGGTTGAAAAACTGTGGCACATTTATACTATGGAATTTTACTCAACTATAAGAGACAATGAGAGTCTATCATTTCAAGCCATCCACTTGAAGTGGATGAATACGGAAGACTTAATGTTAAGTGAAGTGAGCCAGACTTGGAAAGATACACATTGTATATACCCTCACTCAATTTGTACAGTCATCTGCATGCTACGGTAGAAATGGAAAGATCTGAGATATGATAGTAGAGAGGATAAGTGTAGACAGAGAGACTGTAAAGGAGGGTGAGTGGAAGAAAGTGGGTGTGAGGTGCAAAGGGGAGGAAACATCTGATGGAAAATGTAGAAATCTCCATTGGAAAAAATATATACATAGTATACATCATGATAGGGACTTTATGTAAAATGTGAAATTAATCTGAAAATAGGCGGCAGGTACAGTTTATGCACACAAAGAGTACACACACAAATTAATATAGGAAACCATCTGTGAACTACAAATATAGGAAAAGCCTCTTCTCAGGCAGAAAATTATGATTGTAATGATTAAACTTTCTAACAAAGCCTTATGAGAGACCATGAAGAACTAAAGTTTACACACTGTTACCTCTTGGGGCATTGTCTAGGCTCACTAAACCAAGATTACCTGTTCACTGGCTGCTAAATCATGCCTCTGTTTTGCTACCCAGTGTCCTGTTACAACACTAACTGCAAACATTCCTTTTTACCATGGGAGATTTTTTTTTAACAGTAAGCACTTCACAGAATAAACTGAACTCTGACCTTTTTAAATTAGTCCTATAAAATCCTTAAGTTCAAATTCATCTTCTTCAAATGACCTGAAAATATTTTAAAAAAAAAAAAAAAAAGAAAGAAAGAAAGAAAGAAAAAGAAAAAAAAGTCTTTGCAGTAGAATCAGCCTATTTCTGAAGAGGAAAAAGTGACTTACCAAAGTTGAAACTACTGCTTCTGCTGCTATAGCAAAGCAAAGTTGAGAAAGAAATGTATCTCTTGTTTTGCTACCCATTTTGCAAATCCTATAACTTTTTTACTGTTACATTTTAAAGTATTTGATAATTTTGAGTCTTATCACCACTTAATTTTTTCAAATGCTCCACCCACATTCTTTAAAAGTAGCTTATCTTATCAGTCCCTTATCGTCTATACTTCCTATACAGCTTTTTCTGATCTTTGAGTTTCAAATCACCCTTTTCCTCCATGGTGAATTAAATATAGCCACAAACACTTTGAGACTTTCTTCAGTGTGAGGTATATGGAGGGAGAAGTAGTAGTTTATTCTTCTCCTAGAGCTGGACAGGCTCTGTAGCTTCTCTGACCTACTTAATGTTGTTCAAGTCCCACTGTGTGAACTTCTCTGAATCAGACCACAACTACCACTTCCTTTCTCTTGACAGCCTCCTCCTTAGCACACAACTTCCAGGTAAAGACTTACCTTAAACCACCATGCTGTCAGAAGTCCAAACTACACGGAGTGCCCTTGTCAAAATAAAATCAGATCAGATACAAAAAGAAATATGAGTCTATTTTACATACAAAAGAAATTAGGAGCCCTCTAACCAGAAGTGCTAAGAAGATGGGCTCTCAAGAGTTAGGGAGCAGCTTATTAGGCATTAATGGGGGAAGTACCTTGGTCTCTACTGTGATGGGCTACTACAAACATATATTTCTTTTAGGCCAGGTAAACTGAACAAGTTTATTTACCTGTAGCTGATTAAGTCAAATTATCATAAGGGCAAGAAAGAAAAGCTTAAGTTTTGTTTATGATTAGTGCTTGCATTTCGGTAAAATTAGGATAGCTTAAATTTTGATTACATGGCTGTGGGTGGTTAGCTTAGCAGTATACCCAAACTGTGACCTCCATTTTTATAATATCTCAACAATTCCCCTATTTTGATCATTCTCTCCATTGACTTTTCATTTCATAGCCATCTGAAAATCAAAAAACTAAGATTTCTGTAGATTCTTCTGATAACTCAATGCTTACAGTTTTTGTTGTTTGATCCTCCTGGAAATCATCCAGTGAGTTAATGGCTACTGACAAGAACTTAAAACTTCTGAGAGAGCATAACACACAAGTGATATTATCAGTATGACTAGTATGAGAATAATACCAAGAGTTCAAAAATTACCCCAAAGCCAAGGTTCCAAGCAACTGAACCAGCTAAATAGATCAAATTGTTTCTCCCTGATTTAATGGAATGCCTAGATTTCTGATCATTTAGATTTTTAAAATTTAGAATTACAATTTCTGATTTCTTGACATGAAAACATTTTTTTCCAGTAAAAACTCTGGCTCCTTTCTGTTAAGATCACCAAGAATTTTCCTTGGGCTGGCTCAGTAGCCCAGCATAAGACACTACTGAAGCAAAACTGGATCAACATGGAAGACTGCAGGTTCAGTTCCCAGGTCAACCTGCACACTGATCCTGCATACTCATGGCTGGCTGGAAAGGCTGTAGAGGGACTGCAGCATGAGATCTTGTTGCAAGTGCTTGGCTCTTTCTCTCTCACTTCTCACTCTTATGAAAGAAATAAACTATTTTTTTTTAAAAAAAAAAAGGAAAAAAAAAAAAGGACACTCCTGTTTAGGAGTACAGCTAAAGCTAAACTGCTCACTTCAGATTGTATTGCTTAAAGAAAATTTAAGGTGTCATTATAACTCTTTTTCAAGAGCTATAGAAATTTGGATGTTATCTTTCTAATTCGGAGCCACCTAGTCAAAGAAATAGTACTCTAATGAAATAATGAAATCAAGAGTTGTTATGTATAATTGAGTGGATATTCTCAAGTAATTCATTTTGGGGGACCTACTTTATGTACAAATGACCCTAAGTTACAAAATTGATAGCATTTAGGAAGTCATATCTGGTTATTTGGGTTAAGAGGTGACTCAGACCACTGTGATCTTTGTCTACATTATTACCGTAAAGAATGATACTGTGTTGTTGATACAGAGAGTTAAGTTAGATTGGATTATTCACAAAGCAGGTGTGCTTACTTTTTTGTTACATTGGCATCAGTGCATTGCCATTTTGGAAGACTATTTAAACCAAGATAGGTATAAAAAATATTTCTGTGGATTTGATAAAGTAATCTACTCGTTCCATTACCAATAGGACTGATTCCTTTTCCAGATGTGGCCTCAATTTAGATCTATTCAGTATATAAAACTGCTGTTAATCTTACATAATGATATTATAGAGGCATTCCAATTGCTTCTGTAATGCAGTTTCCATTAAACCAGTGTTTGGTTCCAGTGAGTTCTTTAGTAGTGTAATTGAGTGTCAAAGTCATTTTCTATTTTCAACTCTTATTTTACAAGTCCAGTCTATATCATCTAAATCACATCAGCAAGTTAGATTGTAGTGAATCCAGAATCTCACCTAAGTCAGATCCAGTACCATTAAGGTTTTCTATAGGTAGAGATAAGTTACTAGTAACACATTTTAAAGAATTAATTAATTAATTTTAATCTGACCAGAGAGGGACAGAGAAAGTGAGAAGGCTGGCCACCAGTTCCAGGACTCGAACCATGGTTGGCCATGTGGGAGTCCAGAGCCCTCAACCACCACACCATCTACTGGTCCCTACTAGTAACAAATTATAAATTGGTGTCTAATGGCTCTGACCAGTGCCAAACCAGTTGGCCTGATATTTTGAATGATTTGATTTGCCAGGAGGAGGATGCCAAGCTTTTCAGTAAAGCAAATTTCCCAAAATTGTCATCCAAGCATGAATGGGGGCTGGTTCCAGTATTAATCAGCAGTCACTATGATTAGTAAGAGAGGTTGAAGAACAGTCTTTACTGGATATTTGGCCTGACTTTAGTGGATGAAAATCCTCGGTAGATGTTGGAATATAAATTCAAACATTTAATGTTAGTTCACAAAGTAGCAAGGTTATACTAATTAATAGAAAGATAAAAATAAATATTCGTGGAACCAACAGTTAGTGTGGATTAATGTGTTGGACTCCCACAAGGTTGGCCATGGTTTGAGTCCTGGACCTAATGACTTGCTTTCTAACTTTCCCTCTCTCTGTCTCTCTGTCTATCTCTGTTGAGTCTGTGAGTCCTATATCGAATTTAAAAACAATAATAAATAAAACTGAATTAATAATTCTTATTAAAAAATAATTGATGGCAAAATAAAAGGAAATCCTATGAGTTCTTGATCCATGTTCTTGAGTGGAAAACAGTTTACTTCACGTTGTCATTTGCTTCTGGGTAAAACTCTTCCCTTGAATCTCTTTCATTTTAATTCAGCTGTAGTTTGACAGACCAAGGGCTTCCAAAGAATTATTTTTTAATTGAGAGAGATGAACTCAAGTTTAATATCCTATAATTTGACTGCTGCATGAAAAGTTAAAAGAACTTCATAGAGTCCCTTCCAACGAGGTTCAAGTGTGTTCCTTCATTAATGTCTCCCCCAGAGTATGCAGTCACCTGTTTGAACATATGGGTTACAAAGTCTTCGCCTGGTGGAGGACCTCTAAAGATTTATTTAACCTATAGAAATAAGCATGTAGACATTCCATTAATGCTTTACAATATTGGGTTACATCAGAGTTCATAGAAACTAGATGAACATGGGGTTCTATTATTAAAGGCATGAATCATCCTTTGACAATTTCATAAGGAATCAGTTTATTTTGTCCAAGGGATTTTGATCTCATTGGCATAAAATCTATAGGCAATACTTCAGACCAAGGTAATCCTGTGGTTTCACTTCATCTTGCCAGTTTTAATTTTAGAATGCCATCAGGTTGTTTAGTATTTCATGAAGATGAGGGTTACAGGGATAGTGGTAGTGTCATAATGTCTGAATAATATTTAACCATTTCATAACTTGTCCAGTAGAGTAAGCTGCTTTATGACTTGAAATTTTGTTTGGAACGTCCCAACATGGGAAAACATTTTCTAGAGTAGGGCATGAAGCTCAGCCAGGCCGGCGGGGGACACTGATGCCATCGTCCAGCCACTGTCGCCACCCCACTCAGTTCGCTTTTCCTGGGCTGGCAGGCAGAGGCCAAACTCATGAACTCAGCTCAGGATCATGTGGTCTTTGAGGATGTGGACATATATTTCTCCCAAGAGGAATTGGAATTCCTTGATGAGGCTCAGAGATCCCTATACTGCAATGCGATGGTGTAAAACTTTTCACTTTTATCCTCACTAGATTGTTGGCATGGAGCCACAGATACAGAGGCACCTTCTGAGCAAGAGTTTCTGAGGGATTGTCACAGGTCACAATTCCAAAGCCATGTCCACCCATCCGGAAGACCAGCCCTGTAAGACATATGGCCGATTCTTGAAAGACATCCTACACCTGACTGAGTGTGATGGAACACATACTGAGCAAGAGATGTACATTTGTGAGGCAGAGTTTTACCAGCACCCAAAGAAGCAGATGAGAGAGTCTTTTCAAAAGTGATGAAGGGAGAGCTTCATTGGTAAAGAATGGCAGAGTTCACATGTGAGAGAAGACTTTCATCTAAGGTAAGGGTGGTGATGAATTTATTGCCCATTTAGACCTTCAGCAACAGCTCTCTTACAGAGGGTGGAAGCCACACAAGGACACCAGGGATAGGGAAGGCTTTTCGAAGCACACAAAAATAGTTATGAATGTAGTGAACATGAGAAAGACATTAGCCATCAAGATAAGCTTTTTGAGCACCAGAAAATCCACATTGTAGAAAGACCATATGAGTGCAATGAATGTGGGAAATTGTTTAGCTACAATTCCAACCTTATTAAACATAGGTTTAATACAGGAGAAAAGCCATACAAGTGTAGTGAATGTGGAAAAGCTTTTAGTCTCAAATATAGTGTAGTCCAACACCAGAAAATTCACACAGGAGAAGGACTTTTTTCTTTTTTTTTTCTTTTTTTTCTTTTTTTTTTGAGACGTTTTTGCAATAGAGCATGTGCACTCACCAGAAAGACAGAAAGAGAGAGACAGAGAGACAGAAAGTGAAAAATCATCTCCCATGGAGGATGGCCACCCTGCAATCCCTTCTCCTCCATTCTCCTCTTGGAATCTTGGGCACACATGCACATGCGCCCAGCGTGAGTTTAAGCCACTGGGTCCAGGAGTAGAACCGCGGTTGACTACGTGGGAGTCCAGCGACAAAGCCATTATACCAACTGCTGGTCCCAAGAAAGACCTTTTGAATGCACTGACTATGGGAAAGCCTTCATAAGAAAGGCCCACCTTGTTCAGCACCAGAGAATCACCACTGAAATATTCTTTACACAAAATCCTGGCCTTATTCAATATCAGAAAATTCACAAAAGCCCAAGGCCTTATAAATACAGTCAATGTGGAAGGGCTTTCTTTATGCAGTCCCATCTCATTGGTCACCAAAACATCCACACTGGAGACAGGCCTTATGAATGCAATGAATGTGGGAAATTCTTCTGGTATTGCTCCACACTTGATGCGCATCAAAGAGTTCACACTAGAGAAAGCCCTTATAAGTATAGTGAATGTGCGAAATTCTTTAGGCACAACTCCAATCATATTAGACATCAGAGAAATTATACTGAAGAAAAAGCCTTATGAGTGCAGGGAATGTGGAAGATTCTTTAGCCAAAATTCCCATCTCATTAGGCACCAAAAAGTAAACTCTGGAGAGAGACCCTTCAAATGCTCTGAATGTGGGAATTTTTTTTATGGACAGCTCTACCTTCATTAGTCATCAGAGAGTTCACACTGGAGAAGGCCTTATGAATGTTTTCAGATACAACTCTAGTCTCGTTAAACATCGGACAATTCACACCAGAGAAAGGCCTTATGAATGCAGTGAATGTGGGAGAGTGTTATGCAAAATTCTCACCTCATTCAGCACCAAAAGGTTCATGCCAAATGAATTATGAGTAAAGCAAATGTGGAATTACTTCAGACAGTAGTCTGTTTTGATATAACACTGCAAACTATTGTTAATTATATTGATATAAAAAAAGAAAAACATTATCTAATAGCCTTTGGCTATACTAATTATATCGGGCTTTTGTCAAGGAAAGGCTTCTATCTGACTGAAACTATATTTATAATTAAAAGCACATATTAATAATCCACAGAGCTAATTGAATCTTGGGCACACATGCACATGCGCCCAGCGTGAGTTTAAGCCACTGGGTCCAGGAGTAGAACCGCGGTTGACTACGTGGGAGTCCAGCGACAAAGCCATTATACCAACTGCTGGTCCCAAGAAAGACCTTTTGAATGCACTGACTATGGGAAAGCCTTCATAAGAAAGGCCCACCTTGTTCAGCACCAGAGAATCACCACTGAAATATTCTTTACACAAAATCCTGGCCTTATTCAATATCAGAAAATTCACAAAAGCCCAAGGCCTTATAAATACAGTCAATGTGGAAGGGCTTTCTTTATGCAGTCCCATCTCATTGGTCACCAAAACATCCACACTGGAGACAGGCCTTATGAATGCAATGAATGTGGGAAATTCTTCTGGTATTGCTCCACACTTGATGCGCATCAAAGAGTTCACACTAGAGAAAGCCCTTATAAGTATAGTGAATGTGCGAAATTCTTTAGGCACAACTCCAATCATATTAGACATCAGAGAAATTATACTGAAGAAAAAGCCTTATGAGTGCAGGGAATGTGGAAGATTCTTTAGCCAAAATTCCCATCTCATTAGGCACCAAAAAGTAAACTCTGGAGAGAGACCCTTCAAATGCTCTGAATGTGGGAATTTTTTTTATGGACAGCTCTACCTTCATTAGTCATCAGAGAGTTCACACTGGAGAAGGCCTTATGAATGTTTTCAGATACAACTCTAGTCTCGTTAAACATCGGACAATTCACACCAGAGAAAGGCCTTATGAATGCAGTGAATGTGGGAGAGTGTTATGCAAAATTCTCACCTCATTCAGCACCAAAAGGTTCATGCCAAATGAATTATGAGTAAAGCAAATGTGGAATTACTTCAGACAGTAGTCTGTTTTGATATAACACTGCAAACTATTGTTAATTATATTGATATAAAAAAAGAAAAACATTATCTAATAGCCTTTGGCTATACTAATTATATCGGGCTTTTGTCAAGGAAAGGCTTCTATCTGACTGAAACTATATTTATAATTAAAAGCACATATTAATAATCCACAGAGCTAATTGAATGAAGTGTATCTACAAGCATTCCAATGTTCCTGATGGTGGATGAGTTATTCCTAGAGTCATTTTAATGATCTTTCCAGAATTATGGGTTTGATAAGTCACCCATTGACTATAACATGTTTGACTACTTTAGGAAAATCTCCCTACCAATATTTTGCCAGTGTTGAGTCATTATATCAACTCTATTACAAGTAAGAGAATGGAAAGCTCAGAGGATAGGGAACTTTTGGAATTCAGAAGTCCCGCTCTCTGCCTTCTCAGTTATCTCTTACTTAATTTACATTCTTTATCCATCCATTTTTATATTTTTTTTCAGTGTCTGAGGCATATTTTAACCATTATTATAAGTACTAAATGTCTCTCATGTCTTTTGAATGGTCTCAATACTTGTATTAGTTTCAATTTATTAGACCAGAAATAATGCAGAGAGGAGATCAGCAATCTGAGGTGCGGTTTTTGCAGACACATCATTTGACATGTTTTACAGACTTATCATTTAATATTAAGATTCTCTTCTGTTTCTGTAGCATATCAAAATCATAAATTATTCTAAAAACATACCTACCATCAGTATAAATACTGACAGTCATCTTTTGCTATTTTTCAGGCTCAAGTAAGGGTAAATGATTCTGCAATTTGGACTGAAATAATTTGGAAAGATTTTTCTTTCTAATAATTCAATAACAGATTATAATAGTATAACCAACTTGATATTTTTCTTCAGAAATTTTGGAATAGGCATTATTAACATAGAGAACCAGTTATGGATTGGTTAATGGTTTTTTTGTTTTGTTTTGTTTTGTTTTTGGTAAATACAGTCTGGGGATCAAATTTTGAAAAATCAATTCAACACAGCTATGAGTCTCTTCTGAGTAAAAGTGAAATGGTAGCAGAGTTTGAAGAGCTGCTGCAAAGAATGAGCAGATTTGAAAGGGACAAAGGAAGAATCTCATACAATGTTAACTGGGTAGTTGATAAATGCATGATGCATTTGGCATTTAGAAAGGGTTTTTTTAGACCCTGAGAAACTTGTAGGCATAGTTTTGCTTTGGATAAGTTCTGAAGAGGATTCTACAATCTTGGTAGCTTCAAACTTTAAGCAATTTGGATATGGCTTAACTATGCCAGATCTAATTGTAGACTATACTGTTTAGACTCTACAAAGCTATGAACCCTACTTTCTCATTCATTATTTTGAGTGAAGACTCCTAGAGAAGACTCATTATATCATTTAAGGAGAAACACTGTGAAGCATTTAGAATAAATGGAGCATCCTGATTCAGGAGGATTTTGCAATGCCCATTTATGTTCAGTCAGGGCCTCCTCATATTTTGTTATCCATAAAAGATTTTTCTCAGTGTTAGTTTTACTTAATTCATAGAGAGGCTAGTAAGGAAAAACTGTGGACCTAGAACTTGCTATATCCTGCAAGCCCAAGGAATACTCTTGACTTGCATTTACTCATAGGTCTAGTGTAACTTCACATTGTATTTAATTTTTGTGAAGACAGAAAGATTCCTTTTGCAGATAATCAGGACCTAAATAATGTGCCTTCTCTTGTGAGAATCAAGTTTATCTTAAGAGGCCTTATAGGGTGAATATGTTGAAATAGATACATTGTGTCCATTTTTTAGTTCCACTTAGATAAAGAACAAAGGAGTAAAAAACTTACATACTGAATCAAGGTAGATTTTCTTGGAAATTGCATAGTTTAAAATCCCAATATAAAATATATGGTAAAGGTAGCCTTGGTTAGTCTCTGAGGTATTCCTGTCCAACTACATTGTTGATTTTTCCAAGTAAATCAAATATTGAGTGTCTGTCTACACAAATGCTAAAAACAAAATCAAGTAAACGAAACTCCAAAATTACTGGCTGTAATTTACAGGGTAATTGTTTTGAGCTTAGTTCACATTGAGAATTGTTAACAAGATTTAAGAGGTTGAAAAAGGATCCAATACTGCATTGAAGGGTAGAGCCTTTGTGAGGAGATCAGTGATTTGGTGGATAGGGTGAGACTCCATAATTAAATCCTAGTAGGTTTATAAGGAGATGAAATGAGGCCGAGCGAGACCCACACAGGACATAGAGCACTCTGCTGTGCTCAAGTCTTCACCTTCTGCCATGCTGTTATGCCAATGTGGCTCCAGACATTGGACCTCCAAATTGTGAGCTGAATAAGCCTCTATTCCCTTAAATGACCAAGACTCGGTTTTTTTTTGGGTCAGTTACTATAACAAAAGACTAGAACACTGACTTATGCTGGTGCATTTCAAGATCCTGGGAGATGAGGTAATAATGTTGCCAATAATTTTTTAAAGTTTGTTAAAATATGCTATTTTAACTAAAATTATTTAATACTACCATTTATTTCTCCTTTTTTTTCATGGCTTGTTCTTGTTTATTTTTGGGTAGAAAATCAGGCTCTTTAACACTGTATAAATAACTCACAAACTGGTGCTCATAGATCACAAAAATCAAAATCAGTTTTAACACTGGGCCCCTGAATTTGACATTCAAGTTACCATAGTAGAAGCTGGAGCTGGTATACCTTATGTTTTGGAAAGTGCCTCAACAAAACCATGTTTAGTATTGTTTAAAGTGTCCATTGCTTAAAAATATCTATCTTTCCTCCCAATGTCTAAAAATCACTAAGTCTTTTTGTTTAAAAAAGTAGGGGGAGGGGTATTCTAAGGAATTCAACAGAAAAAAGAAAACAAGTGCCTTTTATGGAAATGACTTTCAATGTCTCTGGGCCCAAAACTTTACTGAAATAACTTTTCAAAGTGTCTTCACAGAAACATTTACCGTCTTGCTCCCAGCAACAAGATGGATGAGATCAGGTACACTGAGGTCACTAAAAATGCCCTCATTAGAAATGCCAATAAGCCTCTCAGATAAGCCCCTCATTAGTAATAACAATAACCTATTCTTTACTTCCCTAAGTCAAATTCACACCCCTCCAGGCTGCACTCTGCAGAATTAGCTGTAGAAGAAACAGCAAAGATCCTGCCAGACAGCCAAGAGCAAGCAACAAGAGTAACAGCCCTTGCATCCCCCCAAGGGAAGCCCTAGAGCTGAGAAGAGAACTGCCAGGCTCAGAATGTCAGCCTTGGCTGTGAGTACAGTAAGGGGATGGTCCAGAGTAGGTGGCCATCCTGGAAGCTCCAGATGGTCATGTAGCAGTCCTAGCCCACTGCCACCAAGAGTCCTTTCTCTTTGTACACATGCAGGGCACGTAGGGTACACATTCACATGTCCTGTGAACTGCGTTATACACTTAGAGGCACTCAGCTGCAATAGCTTGATTTTTCCAGCCATGTCTGATGCCA